TCTGCAAAGAAGTTAACATTGGAATTTAGTGCGGATCTTGTAACTGGTTTTATCATAGGAAATTTTTATTATTCTTTTCCTTTTTGTCCATGTATTCATTAGATTTAACTCAAAGAGTTGGTGAACCTATAACCTGTGACATCATCCAAAGAGAAGTTGAAGAGACCAGCTTGGGGGCGTGCTCTTGATACATCAAAAAATTCTTTAAGCGAATTTGCAGAGAGAAGATTTGACCCCAGAAGATGACTTGAGGGTCAGATGCCAAATGTCAAGGGAATTTATCAAGAAGGGTGTTACACGAGTCTTCATTACCTGATCTATCTCACGATTTGAGTTTTCAAAAAAAACAAAAACAAACCAGCAAAAAACTTGTGAGAAGATTTTACATGTTAGGTCCTCAATCTAAAATCATAGTCAGACCCACCAGTTTGAACCATTCTTATCATCTCCACGAAAGCAGAGGAGCCGATACGTCCTGTAATGAGTGCCCCACCACAAATCAAAGCATCGAATTGCCCAGATTTAATTTGAGGTATCGGCTGCCCGTTCAAAGACGTGCAAATGAATTCAGTATAGATCTCTTTCTTCTTTGCTTCCGTTAACATCTCAGCTGAGATGTCCAAAGCACATAGGTTGGTGTATCCGAGTTTCTTGAGCTCAACTCCAATCAGACCTGTCCCAGCTCCGGCGTCAATGATCTTGATTTGATCCATTGGTTTGTCCTGGTAAACTTCTTTAAGGGCTTTATGTAAAGACTCGGCCAGTGGCTTGAAATATGAAGTGCGCGCCGCTGAATGTTCCTATAAGATGAGAAAGTTCAAGCCGGTTATTACGATTAGAAATGTTCGATAAAGACGACACGAGTCTGGTGTCGCCTTGGGCCCCTTTTCAGTAGTACTGGAACATTCGAGAAACGCAACGCTAAGTGATGCATCAGTTGTCCGGTGGGTCAAACGGCAATGTGCCACATCGTCCCCCAGACCCTTATTATTATTATTTTACTGTTTTAGAGTACCTCGTCATATGTTGCTGACCGTGCAGCATAGATACGTTTGATTTCATCTTCGGTTGTTTCTTTGGTTACTTTTGCTGTTGTTTCTCCGAAATACTTCATCAAGCTTGCTTTTAACTGCTTCTCATCCATTCTCTATTGAGGGACAAAATGCAAAATGTCATATACACTTGTCTGATGAAGGCTTCTATTATATGAAGTGCGGTGCTTTGTAATGATTTCAAGCCCTGAGAAGAGCCTTAACAGCAAACGTGTAAAATTACGGTAATTTTTTTCACACGTCACTCGCTGACACGTCACTCGCCTTTTGCGCCACTCTGTAAGGTTGATGATTGACTGACAAAGCGATCCTTGGAAGAGGACGTTGACAAAAGCAATTCATTTCCCATCCACGTTCTTAGCCGAGCTGTTCTTTGAGTAACAAGTTGAAAAAATTCATAGCTTTGCCTTCTGACTGGTAACAAGCAATGAATAACTGCAGTGATTTACAGAGTTGAATGTTCTGAATAATACAAAGTACAAAGTTGAATTTAAAGTGTGTAACAAAATGCTGATTGGACGATAGTAACAAACGATAGTAACAGAACAATGTATGCATTTACAAGTAAAGTTTTAAATTAACATGATAAAGTTAATGATTAAGTGTAGGTTTCTCCCACTGAATGTGGATAGCTTTTATGATTTTAAGTTGAAAAGTTGTGAAAGCACACACACACACACACTTCACACAAACACGCCGCTTAATTAATTTACAATTAAATTTTACAGAAAAGGGCTTGCCCGCAACTAGCAAAGGCTAATCTAGGCGGGCCATGCCTTAATAGCCGAATTACAAAAATATATAACAAACAGAAATTAACTAATAAAGTAGAAGGGAAAGAGACAGTAATGAATAACAACAAGAAAAACCGTTACATTGACCTAGTTTAAAATATTAAAGGTACAGCTACTGTTTATAAAGATAGTCAGGACAGATCAGGAGAAGTATTACCAGGATTTTACATTTTGTATAATTTCAGATAAATCTATATAAGAGTCTTGTGAACCTAATATGTTGAATAAAATTTGTTTGAGTTTTTTTTTAACGCATTTTTGGAAAGATTTCTTAATGCTTCAGGTATTGCATTCCACACTTTTACTCCTATTCGAAAGAAGGAATTCGCTTGAACGGATAGCCTAGAAGGTTTAGTATAGAAGTTATTAGAGGCAGAAGAACGTGTATTGTAAGAATGAAAATTATATATATCTTGAAATAAATCTTGAATATTGGATGGAGCTGTTCTGCTTCGAACGTCAAGCATCAAATTAGCTATAGATTCATAATGAACAAATTTTAGCGGTAAGATATGAGCGTCAACAAATAAAGGAATTGCATTCTCATTATGATCAGAAAATTAGATAAAGCGAACAGCTCGTTTCTGTAACTTAAGGAGCTTGTCAAGGTAAGATTTTCAAGCCTGAACCCATACTGTCAGTGTTTACAACCGTTCAATCGAAGTTTTCCTCTTTTTTTTTTTTTTTGGTTGTTTTTACTCCAGAAAGTGGAAATCTGCTGACATATATGAAAAATATCTATTTGTCGTCTTCTTTGGAGCGACCGATGGAATCTTCACGGAGGAATACAGCGTCACGCCATCGTGACAACGTACATGTTTATGACAAATGACCGGTGTGAGGATAGTTTTGTGTAGATCACTCGACTTCGACATGTTTCAAATGACATACAAGTATAACAGTGTATCTTCAGAGGACTTCGGATCGCTCAAATTCCCATGAAAGAAGGTGCAGCGCTCTGAATCTGGATGAAATGCACACGATTTGAGGTATATGTTTGTAGTTACGTCGAGTTGTCCTCCATGAAGGTTGATCAATTTTTTCCAAAAGATGACAACCAGAGGTGAGATTTCTCTTCGGGATATTGCTCATAAGATAACATTCTTTCATAGCCTCACATGCTTCATTTGTCTGAAACGTTTGTTGTTGAGAACATTAGATGTAAACATCGCCACATTATGCAATATCTGATTTGGACCTTTTTTCGCGCATTGCCCCTATAAAAAGTAGAGACAGGCCCGCAGAGAGTTTTACATACTTAAAAACTAGAATATTATAACCAGCTAGGTAGGTATTTTCAGTTCCAGAATCGGTGTACTTTTGGAGAACGTTCCCTGTTTTACCCGACAACAAAAATGACCGAAACTGTACCGAGATAAATAATCTATTAGCGTGTTCATATTCAATCCCAGGGGAATAAAATGTATCAAAGTGAAGACGAATAATGTTACTATGTATGGTAGAAATGCCAATTTGTAATGTTGTATTTAGCTTGAGATAGAGAAATAAACATTTCACTCTTTTTTGCGACGTTTTGTATGAAAATGAGGCCCCAGGCCTCGAACAAGCAGTCGTTGTTACCATGGTAACAAGAGTGCTGCACCCTTTAAAAAGGGCATTTTTGTGCATCCCCCCTGAGTGCCTAACTGCATGCAAAATTTGAAGGGGGTTGAAAATTTTCATTTCCCAAGATTTTTGATTCTTACAGAGACTTGTTCTTAATGCTCTCGGTGAAAGCCGATGCAAATCGGAAACATACAAAACTCGAAAACAAAGCTTTTAACTTTTTTGTACTCTTACTTTCTTACCTGGTCAATTTCACAGCTCGCTTCTTTTTAATTTCAAAAAACAATTCTCACTTACACGGGAAGTGAACTTGAAAATAAAGAATTTAATTGTGAAAAAGCTGGCTTCAGGGCAATTCACACGGAAAATGATGCTGACATGTTCATTTCGTGGCGCCGCATAACTAATGATGTGACAGACTTTTCGACGCATCAGTGAAATTTCTTAGCTAGCATTGCCTTTCAAGGGATTTCTTCAACTAAAAATCTCGAGATATCGATTTTGTTACAACAGATTTTAGGGAGTATCATTCTCAATGAAACAGCGAAGACAAAAAGTGTGAAAATTTATTAATTGCACGCCAAAGGATATCATGTCAACAAAAACACTGAAGGAACTTTGTGCGAGTCGACGATTTTCTTTTGTTTTTGGGGTGCGAGTCATCTGGCAGTGCGGGTAATCTTTTGAAATGTTTTTCTCGTTATTGCAAAAATTGACCGAGGCGGGTAATCTGCCGTGCGGGTAAATGGACGGAAATTACGGTAATTCCTTTCCACGTTTTTTTCATATTAGTCAAGTTAGAGTCAAAAAAATTTGAATGGTATTGTTGTTTACTTACGTGTTCGGCTACAAATTTTGTTTCTACAAGTTCTGTACTTAGAGACATCACCAGATGGATATAATTTGTTTTTAATCTCAATGGAGGTGCGTAAGCCTGGAGTTATCTATGGTTTGGAGAGCTGTTTTGCTTTACGATTTGAAATTGTCTTCGTAGGTGCTTGTTTGTTGACAAGCTTATTAAACTTGTTATAAAAAGAAGAGAACAAATCATTCACATCGCACGATTTCCTTTCAACAACAGCATTCCAGTCCACTTGGGAAAGTTCGGCATTGAAACAATCATCAGAAAACTGTGAGAAGTTTCGCACTTTAAATTTCAGGCACGTGCGGGATTTGAACCCAGGACCTTTGCGATACCGGTGCAGCGCTCTACCAACTGAGCTAACAAAGCCAACTAGCAGCTGGTCAATATGTTGACCCGTACAGGCCTGAATGTTTTTCAGGTCTTACTTTCAACTACTAATCCAGCAGTGTTCTTAGCTGCGAGAATCTCTTGTATTCGTCTCTTCACCGCAGTGCAAATATATGAATTTCATATATCTAATATCATTATTCATCACTTGGATGGTTTATTTGGACCCAACATATAAACCAAGTCCCAGTTGGCTTGTTAGCTCAGTTGGTAGAGCGCTGCACCGGTATCGCAGAGGTCATGGGTTCAAATCCCGTACTGGCCTGAACTTTTTCAGGTCTTACTTTCAACTGCTAGTTCAGTAGTGTTTTAATCTTCATGTCAAGTGCAGTTCTCTACGGCAGACAAAGCAAACAATATCATT